AGTTCTACTCTGTCCTGTAGGGTTGCTATGAGTTGGAATTGACTCGATGGCAGTGTTTTTTTTTGTAATCTGAATAAACTTTTAATAAAATAAAACATTCTGTATTCATATGATTCCTGTGTTATACAGATTATTCACCCTTATGTTGGATTCTTAAATTATGAGTGGTCATTTCCCAAGCTACATGATAAATTCTTGGAAGAATTAAAAGTTAATTCTATGAAGACTGATCATTAAACAAGCAACCCTTATATTATTTCTATGAATCAGAAAATATGTAAACATTAAAAAACATGGAGCCACTCACAAACTCTATTGCTCATTATAACACAAATTATAGAAATTAATCCCAAATAGTTGGCAGAGAAGTCACTAGTGTTTGGTTTGGAGTTGCATTCTAAGATTTTCCTTACTGATGCTATTTCCTACTCTACCTGAAGACAGAGTGACAGATGGCTCAGATGGGGAAAGGCATTTGGGTCAGGTCAGACTGCACAGCAGTTTAGATGACAGTGAAACCAACATTGGATTTAAATTACCTTTAGAGAACTAAATTTATAGATACATCTAAACATGCATCATCACCTCACTGTGGAATCAATTGCACAAGAATTGAAGACTAGGTGCTAAGTAGTAGTTGATTTTGAGACCCTTAAATAATTAAAGGCAAAGCAGATTGTGAATATGAGGAGTGCTTCTTTTAAAAGAATATGTGAATTTTCAAAATCACTTTACCCCAACACAACCTTTAAATCTACTTCCAACCTCTATTGTTGGGAAAGCTGCCAGTGTTATTTGATCTAACTTCTGATACACAACAATTAATTATGAACATGGTTGTAAAGTCTTTTGCCACTAGGACAGAGATAATTTGTGATTTAGTATGGCATTTAGAAGCTTTAGCCTTCATTGTTTTATTTATGGTATCATGATGATGATGATGATGATGTTATAATAATTACTTCATGCATATTAAACAGTTTACATTTTGATGATTAATAACATATCTTTTCATTATTCTGCCCTAGGGCATAAATATTTAATATTGTCTTAGTTATCTAGTGCTGCTATAACAAAAATACCACAAGTGGATGGCTTTAACAAACAGAAGTTTATTCTCTCACAGTTTGGGAGGCTAGAAGTCTGCATTCAGGGTGCCATTTCCAGGGGGAAGGCTTTCTGTCTCTGTCGATTCTGGGGTAAGGTCCTTGGTATCAATCTTCCCCTGGTCTATGAGCTTCTCAGCTCAGGGACGCAGGGTCCAAAGGATGTGCTCTGCTCTCAGCTCTTCTTTCTTGGTGGTAGTAGGTCCCTCTACTCTCTGCTAGCTTCTCTCTTTTATATCTCAAAAGAGATTGAGTCAAAATACAACCTAATCCTGTAGATTGTTTCCTGCCTCATTAACATAATTGTGTTTAATCCTGCCTCATTAACATCATAGAGGTTAAGATTTACAACACCTAGGATAATTATATCAGATCACAAAATGGAGGACAGCCACACAATACTGGGAATCATGGCCTAGTCAAGTTGACACACATTTAGGGGGACACAATTCAATCCATAACAAATACTGAGCACAGAAATCCAAAATACTTCATAAATTCTGTAGTTATTAAATAGCTTAAAAAATGTTGACTTTATCAAGCACATTTTCTCCATTTTAAATAAATAAGGTATGAACGTCTAGAATGGTGAGTTATTTAAACTCTTCTGATATTTTGCTTTTCTATGCAAGTACATAGAAAATGAGACATATCAAAAGACATACTGCTTTGTCATTAAGAAAATGTGATACATTCCATCCCACCTGTGTGCATGCATCATTTACACACAAACTGTAACCTGGGAACAGCTACCAGAGCTGTAGGGTGTAGAGAAGCCTGAGATATTCCAATTTTTCTCTGCTCCTGTCATGCAGAGTAGAAGCATCTCCTCTCTTCCCCATTCTCCCTTAGCCTGATACTGCCTGAGACCATCCCAAAACCTGCTCTAGGACCAGACCTTTTTCTAGAAGCAGAGCTGACAATTGTGAGCGTAAATCCCCTTAACCAGTTCTTCATACCTCCATTTCTGTTGTCATATATTGAAATTATTTCTAGTTTTTCTGCATTATAAATAACTTTGCACTGAAACACTTTGTGCATAAACTATCCTACATAGTATCTTTAAGAAAAACAAAAACAAAATTAGTCTTTACTGATTTGAACCCAGAAGGTATATCCATTGAATATGTGTTATTCTTGTAAAATGGAGAAGGAAATTGTGGTAAATATTTGTTTTCTTTTAGTTATTTACATATCCATTTCTCTATTTAAATTGTTTCTCGGGGAAAATAATTATGTCTTTTTAATTTTTGCATTCCCTGTGGGTTCAGCATTATTCCTGCCATGATACTCAGTAAAAGCTTGAAGTCTTGAACTAAATACACAGTGGCTTTGGATATTCAGCAAAACAACACCTGCTTTGGCCTCTGCAAGTCACAATGCTTTTGAAGAATTTCATTGGCCCTCTTTACACACAGCATCTGCTGTGAACAGGTGTTGCGTTCTAGGGAGAAGAACCTTGCCAGAGGGATTTTCCCTTGCTAACATCCTCCTTCCAGATGTTTCTTCCCTGTAGCACATTCTGAATTATGGGGCCCTGGAAGGCAATTGCAATCAATGACATGACATGTCACACCTGGAATTCAACACTTCCCCCACCATATAACTTCCGTAGTTAAATGTCAAATCTTTGTTTATTGCTAAGGGACTTGATTGTTCCTCTGTGTAGTCAAACACTAGTGTTCAATATTAGTTTATCACTTATGTCTAGCACTGTAAATACAGGTGGATGTGTAAAGATACAATTATATGATATTAAGATCATATAGGATTGAAAATAACAGAGTGCAAGGACTTATGTCAGCCCTTCATTTTTCTTAAATATGCATATTTCTGTCCAAAGTTGAATCAGTTTTATGTTTAAAACATATAACTAAAGTAGCTGGGAAAATGAGACTAGACTGAGATCTCTGTTTATTATCTTCTACATAAATGAAGAAAGTACCATACAACTTTTTCTTTTTTAAAAAATAGTAGGATACATATACATCCATCCACGTGTATTTTGTAGTTTACTACATCTAACCTATGCCTACATCCAAATGATATTTTTGTTTATTCTTGTGAATTTATTTTTATTAACTCTAATTCACCCGTAAGTCATGTACATTTTCCTCAACATTGTAGGGTATTTTAATGTCTTTATTTTTGTTCTCTTTCGGTTTAGATGAAAACAGTCTTCTGTTTGTAATGGTTTTTGTTTTTTTATTATTTGTGTTACAAGAGCTCACTGAAGATTTAATGATAGTATGTTTTATATACCTATTCAACTATGTCATTAAGAAACAGTTACAGTGACATCATTTAGGAATAAACTTTTTCCTCAGCCATATGAGCAGTTACATATAATCGAATACTTTGTATTTGTAGTCAAATCATACTAACTTTTTTTTTTTGGTAGCAGAGTTTTGTTTTCATTAAAAAAAAATCAAAGAAGGTATTCACAGTATGGGTAGTTTAATTTATCCTATGACAAACTTTAGATACTGGCTCTTAAAACATATGTGAAAACTTATCGCTACATATAGAAACCCTAAGAATGGAACAATTAAAAACTACAAATTAAAAAAAAAATCTCTAATAATTACCAAGGTGTCTAACAGTCATTTAGTTAGATTTTAAATGGAACTTCCACAAAACACAACTTTTATAAAGTAAGTTAGAACTTATGTAGCAGAGCAGTCATACACAAAGTGCTGAAATTCTGAAAGCTGTTTTAAGTCACCGGAAAAGGAAGTATTGAAATTAAATTCAAACACCATATAGGTGTTTTAAAGCATCTAAAAGTAATAGTTAACACTAATGGTGTGTGTTCAATGGGCCAGGCACTTTTTAAAATTATTTAACATATTTGACTTATTTAATCCTTTCAGCAGTTATATGGGTTCCTGCTATTATCATCACCAGCTTTCATATGAAGACACTGAGGCTGAGATAAATTAAGTTCCTAGACAACAGGGATAGCAAGTTGAAGACCCAGGACTCGTGCCCATACCTTTTGAGGATTAAATAAGAGCCTTTGGTTTCGAAGAAAATAAGGAAATTTTATACCCAGAATTTAACTTATGGATTTTTCCTGTCCGTCATTTTCCAAAGTGTATTCCATGATCACTAGTTTAGTGAGTGCTCTGTAATAAAAACTTCCATAGTCTAACATATCACAGAAAACACTACAAAATATTGTTCCCCCTCCCACTTGGAGATTTGCAGTGCAAAAGTGTATAACAAAGGTCCTGACAAGTCCTGAAGTGAAGAGATATCTTTTTCCTTGCATTTTTTAGCCATTGCTGACGAAAAACTCTTCTGTAATACACCTTTCACGGCCCTTAGAATCTGTGCTACTTAGAACCTAAATGATGGGAAAGTCCAGCTCTGCTATTTTACAGATAGGAATCTGAAGACAAAAAATGCTTTTGTGATCCTGAAATCCTACCTCCCAAACCTGTACATACCCTACCTCACTCAGTTCTTGAATCAGCATGCGGGCATAACTGTCCTGATATTTTAGATTTCTTCCAGATTTCCATTTTTATTTAACTATTTCAACAGAAAAATTATCATTACAGTGAAGGTATATGGATAAAACAATGAGATTGGTCATATTTTGGTTTACTTATTGCAAGTTTGCCACAATAAATATTTAACTTAAGCAATGCCAAATTGTTTTTGTTATTTAATATTTCATTTATGCTGAAGTATTTAATATCTGAAAATTAGGGGGGGGAAACGCTTAGAGAGTCCTGAGGATCTAGAGAATACATCTTTTAGGAGATGACCATAGGTCATAAGTACATTTCATTGCCATGGCTTAATTGCATGATATCATGAAGTTAATCACATACAGTTCAATGAAATTTTATAGTTTCCTGATCACCGCATGTTTTACCATTTCAGTTCCTCCGAAGATATATGACATCTCAAGGGATATGACCATCAATGAAGGAACCAATGTCACTCTTACTTGTTTGGCGACTGGAAAGCCAGAGCCCTCCATTTCTTGGCGGCATATCTCCCCATCAGGTAAAGTAGGACTAAATCAGTGTCATTTGTGCTATTCATTGTTTTCCTGTAACCTTACTTATTCAGAGTTTTAGACAGTCTTTCCAAATTTTTGCTTGGAATTCTTAAGGCTTGGAATGCTGTAAGGCTTACTGGTTTTACTTAACCAGAGAAAAATACTTGCTAGAGAGCAAAGAGAATATTACTTTTCATTTATGTAGAACATTATACTTATAAAGAGCCAACTTATTGTAGCTTTTGTATCTTTTTCATAAAGTCAGCAGATGAGTATTCTTATACTCATTCTTTATACCTAAGGAGACTGCAGCCATAAAAGTTGAATGGACAGTTTCTGTCAGAGTCCAGAATGGAACCTATGTCTCTTGTTTCTTAGTGAAGGTTATTTGCACTTTATGGATCAAACAGAAATCAATAGACGAAAAGCTGAAATAGAAATGTCATAAGAGAAAGATCTTCATTTAAATGTATAAGAGATTTATTCAATCAACATTCATGTATTAATAGTCAAGCATGACCCACTAAGGTAACCAGAGGAGAATGAAAGTATACAAATTATGAGGCTTCTGGGTCTAATTTCCAACTGCAGTCCAAAATCAGAAATTTGGCAGTTAGAATTAAATTTTAACTGATGAGGGAACTGAAAACCCAAGAGTTTAAGTAACTTGTACAAGATCACATAGCTAAGTGGAATGAAGGGATATAACATGGTTATGGGCCCCCAGTGCTTCTGCTATGCTGTACATCCTCCCAAAGAGATTAAGTTTATCAAAGGAAGATGGCAGTAATCATCAGCAAAACAAATCTGTTTTTATAGCTACAACTCTAACAGAAGCACCAAGTTGTATAAAATTTAAATGTTTAAATTACATAGGTTTGAGGCTATCCTGATACTTTTAATGAACAGGACCCTGCCTCATTTCAGATAAATGAAATTTTATTTTCTTCTTTTTTATATTTTTGGTCGAAATAGCTTCAGCAAGGCTAGTGTGATGAAATTACTTTTAAAGAAATCAGAAAGGCACACTTCATGTAGATGTAGAAAAAGTACAGTTGGAACATCTATTTTATCCGCTAATGCTTTCTTTAATACACTTATCCTTAAGTGCTTTTCAGTTTCCTCATTTATGGAGTATGCCTAATGAGACTTACCCACATCATATGCTCAGTGTTACTGTTAATGTGAGAAAAAAATCAATGTAACAGCAGTGTACACTTACATGATATGCATTATGGCCCCTATAATATTTTTGAAACATGAGTGTGCCTCTTGACTCTGCCAACACTTTACTCTCTAGAGCTGCTACGGAATCAGAAACCTGGTATGTGAGTACTGAATGCATGGCAGGACCTCCCATGGGGTGTAAGTGAAACAAGCCCGGGGCTAGCAGTTAGAACACCTGTGCTCTTACTAATCAGTTCAGCAAATCCTTGTGCAAGTCTCTTAGCCTCAGTTACCCTCAGCCAGTTTCCTACTTTCTAAAATGCAAATGATAATAATCCTTGGCTATTGTGAGACTGAAATAAGATAATAGGTATAAATGTGCTTTAAAAAATATAAGGTGATATGCAAATGTACAGCTGATTCTTAATCAACTTTCCAGGGATTTCAAACTGATATGCAATCTCAGTTTTGTAAAAACAAAACACATAATCTTCATCTCCATATAATTTAGGATTAATATTTTGGACTTAAACTCTCATGCTTTGCAGTCCTTGTTATTATGCATATTCTCTTTTAAGTGCTTGGATATATTTTAGCTTAATTAAATAGCATGAATATTGGTTAGTGAAGTTATTAGAATAATGATAATGGATAACATCATGAAACTGAAGGAAGATAGATTGGGTTTATAAATTAAACTGTGAATAGATTTGTTTTTCTGATTCTGCTATACCAAGGAAATGACTAAAATTAACATAAATATTAACTATTATCCAATTAAATAGCTAAACTTGGCTGAAATTTTTATAAACGTTTCCGGTAATTTCAAATTTTAATCAATTGATGATCTGTATTCAAAGGTACAGCACTATGGAGTTTCAGTCTTAAGAAACAGGTCTGATAATTCTATTTACTTTTTCCAACTTTTATATTTGAAACCAAAACTGAATTTAGTTCATCTGTCTCTATTTTACCTATAAAATATTACAATTTTGCATGTTATTCTGCTTTCTTTTGCTATATCATTGAGACAATATGCGTCTCAAAACTGCAATCAACATGTAAACAATGTTTAGTACTAAAAGAAGGCATAGACATACTACATGTCTATACTAGAAGCAATAGCTTGTTTTTGTACATGTGTGATTTGTTTAGATGATTTTTTTATCTCTACCGTTGGTAACTCTTGGTGACTAATTCATGAGTAAACGCAGTTAAAAAAAAAAAAAAAAAGAACGTTCACAAGGATGATAGCTCCACAGAGCTTCTTCCTAATCTTTTTAGCAAAATGAGGCTGTGCGTCAATCACATCACAAACATGACCAGAGCCAATTAGAGTTGTTAGTCCATTTGATGGCACCCTCGTGGTACAGTGGGTAAGAGCTTAGCTCCTAACCAAAAGGTCAGCAGTTTGAATCTGCCACCTTCTCCTTGGGAAACCCTATGGGGCAGTTCTGCTCTGTCCTGTAGGGTCCCTATGAGTTGGAATTGACTTGAGGGCAATGGGTTTGATTATTGCTTTTTATTTTTTATTTTTAGTCCATTTGACAGTTCAAACAACTCAGTGTATGTTCCCCAAAAAAACGTATTTCTTGAGAAGTTTCTGGACAAATAAGCTTCCTTAGAGTTCACTATGATTTCTTTCTTCCTATTTTTTTATTTATACTTGGAAATTAATTCAAATTTATAAAATTTGTTGCAGAAACAATACACAAAACAAAACCCTATATCCTTTACCCAGTTTTGTCTATCATCACTTTGTTCTGTTTGCTTCATCATTTACTCGTGCGTGTGTGTGTGTGTGCATGTGTTTTATTGAATTATTTGACAGCATACATTATGACCTTTTATCCCTAGATATGTCAGTGTGCATTTCTAAAGAATGAGGACATTCTGTGACATAGTCACAGTACAATTTTCAACTTCACTAAATTTAACATTTGTACCATACTTTTTATTGAATTAACCATCCATATTCCAGCTTTCTCAAATGCCCCAATAATGACCTATCTTAGTTATCTAGTGCTGCTGTAACAGAAATATCACAAGTGGATGGCTTTAACAAACAGAAATTTATTCTCTCACAGGTTAGGAGGCTAGAATTCCAGATTCAATGCGTCAGCTCCAGGAAAAGGCTTTCTTTCTCTCTCTGTTGGCTCTGGCGGAAGGTCCTTGTAATCAGTCTTCCCATGGATCCAGGAGTTTCTCAGTGCAGGGACCCTGGGTCCAAAGGAGACACTCTTCTCCCAGTTCTTCTTTCTTGGTGGTAGGAGGTCCCTATCTCTCTGCTTGCTTCTCTCTCCTTTTATCTCTTATAACATAAAAGGTGATGCAGGCCATACTCCAGCGAAACTCCCCTTACATCAGATCAGGGCTGTGACCTGAGTAATGGTGTTGCATACCACCCTAATCCTCTTTAACATAACCTAATCTTACCTCATTAACCACAGGCAGAGATTAGGATTTACAACACATAAGAAAATTAATCAAATCACAAAATGGAAGACAACCACACAATACTGGGAATCTTGGCCTAGTCTAGTTAATACATATTTTTGGGGAACACAATTCAATCCATGACATGTCCTTTAGAACATTATTTTCCCTCCAATACAGAATTTAGTCCAGAATCAAGTATGGCACTTGGTTACCATGTCACTTCAGTCTCCTTTAATCTGAAACAGTTCTTTTCTTGAGCCTTTCTTTGCCATTACTGAGCTTTGGCATTTTTGAAGAAAGCATGCCCTCCCTTTTTTAATAGAATATTTCTCATCTGGGGTTTGTCTGATATCTCCTTGTGATTAGATTATAGTTGTGCACACCTGAAACTAAATAAGTGATGTTGTGTCCTTCTCCAGGAATCATATTGGGAGGCACATGATATCTATCTGCCCCTCATTTATGAAGTTAATCTCAATTACTGGATCAAGGTGTTGTCAGATCTCGCCACAGTACAGTTACATTTTTTTCCCCATGTTACAAATAAGCAGCCTGTGTGGAAAAATTTTAAGACACTGACATGTAAATATCTGCTCCTTGTCAATCTTCCATTTAGATTTAGCATTTATCGATGAATCTTCTGTGGAACAGTCTTTACTCTAATGATTACAAAATGATGATCTTCTAACTTCACATCTTCCCACATTTACTGGTTAGTCATGGCATTCCATGAAAACAAGAGCCCTCCCTTCTACTTATTTATTATTTAATTATTTGTTTGTTTATTTATCTGTTATGGCATGGACTCATGAATTCACAATATTTTAAAATTGTTTATAATTCTTTCCTGTCTATAAATACTTTGTTGCTGAAATTGTCCTTGATTTGACCAGTGGGGGTTACTTTAGTCTGACTCCTATGTCCTTGTGATATGCCCCTGTCATTTTTTTCGAGTATTTGCATACTCCATTGCATGAAAACATATTCCAGGTTCATCTTGTGCCTTCCCCGCACCAAGTCTGGAATCCACCATTTCATTTAACTTGAAATGATTGAATACAATACACTTGGGGCTAGAACCATTAAGATGTGCTTTTAAACCATATTGATTTAAAGTATAATTCTGTCCATCTGCCTTATGGTAAAATTATCAGAGACTCAGGGATCTAGGCTACTTCCTATGATATTCTACTAAACCACAAGAGCTTAAACAATTTCAGGGCAAGAAATAGACTATATATATAAATATACATATATAAATATATATATATATATATTTGTATTTACCTCCATCTAACAACAAGCCTGGATTAGAGCCTGGAACCTGGTACGTACACAAAAAGTATTTGTAGCATAATTAGTAAAAAAAAAAAAGTCAAGGAAAATATAAGGAGACAAT